TCTCCTACACAGATCCCCCTCTGAGTCGTTGTCTGATTTCTTGACTGCTGCTTCCATAGGTGTTGATTGTGAATCCAAGTAATAAGAAATCTTTGACACTTTCAATCATTTTCCCATTTATTGTGATGCTGCTTATTGGTCCAGTTGTGAGGATTTTCATTTTGTTGATGCTGAGGTGTAATCCATACTGCAGACTACAGTTTTTAATCTTCATCAGTAAGTGCTTCAAATCATCTTCACTTTCAGCAAGCAGGGTTGTGTCATCTGCATATCGCAGGTTGTGAATGAGCCTCCCTCCAATCCTGATGTCATGTATAAGAATAAAATAAAATAATATATAGAATCTAGCCCATATGTACTCACTGCTGTCAAGTTGGATCCGACTCATAGTGACCCCTCCTTGGGTTTCTGAGGTAGTATCTCTAAATAAGTAGACAGCCGAATCTTCCTTCCGAGGAGTGGCTGGTGGGTTTGAACCAGCCTTCTAGTTAGCAGTCAAGTGCCTTAGGCACTACACCACCAGAGCTCCTATATATAGATATTAAAAAACTTGCAAATTAAGGAGTGGCTGGTGGGTTTGAACTGCCAGCCTTCTGGTTAGTATGAGACCAAAAGGGCAACAGTTATTCAAAAGCAAAGTTGAAATGATAAGTGGGGCATGGAAACTAGATTAGTGGGAAGGGAATAAACTGAACACAATTAAAGAGAATGTTGACACATTGTGATAAATGTAATTGACGTCAAATAAGGATTTGTGCGGATGTTGTTAAATAGGAACTTAACTTTCACCAAAACGTCAGTAAAGTATTATTTAAAAAAATAATAATAAAGTCATAGATTTTTGACCTTGTATTATTTTCTCTTAGATAATTCATTTTTTTCCTTTATTGTTGTAAAAAAATATAGATAACACAAAACTTGCCAATTCAATGTTTTTCAGGTGTACAATTCAGTGATATCAACTAGAAATCAACTCTCTTGACCCTAAGACAATTAAAAAAAAAAAACTTTTGTATAAAAAAAAGAAAAAAAAAAACCTCAAGGATTCCAGTTAATTAATAATACCAGGTAAGCAACAGAAACACGTAGTAAAGGTGTCTGTATGTATGTGGTAGAGATTGGGGATGGGTGGTTACGTCTGACTTTCAGATCTGCCACTCTTCAAACTTCAGTGTGTGGGGGGATCACCTCGGGATCTTGTTAAAACGTAGACTCCGACTCAAGGGGTCTGGATGGGATTGGAGATTCTGATCTCTAACAAGCCCTCCCTGGAGATTGAAGCTGCTGCACGTACTGATGGCAATCAGCAAGGTTCTAGGTGGGTTAGCTGGACATTAACCTCAGGGGAGTGGAACAGGGAATGCTTGATTCTGGTGCTTTTTCTTACTGAGCTGAGAAGAGCATCCATACCTGGCGGCACAATTTCTCATCAGGGTAATGGTATTTTCCTTCCTGCAACTGGAGAACAGGGTTCCAATAGGATTTTTATGGGTCGCCCCTAAACAAGTGCTTCTAATGGACCATCACATTAGATTCCTACAACTTCCTGAGGTACATACCGTGATTCACTCCACTCCCGAGAGGCTGGGTCACACTAATAAACCCAGAGTCCACTCCAGGGACCAAGCTCAGCCACAGCCTCTGCCTTCCTGTACTTGCATCACCAGTTTCTCCCCAGCCCTGTTGCTGATCAAGCCAAGATTGGCTCTGGGTGTGCAAATGGTTTGCACTTGACTACTAACTGAAAGGTTGGCAGTTCGAACCCACCCAGTGGTACTATGGAAGAAAAGCCTAACAATGTGCTTCAATAAAGATGCACCAAGAAAAGCCTGCAGAACTCAGTTCTACTCTGTAACACAGGGAGTCGGGAGGCACAATTGACTCAATGGCAGCAGACTGGATTGATTTGCCTTTTTTTTTTTTTTTCCTGGTCCCATTAAAGTGACTTGATGTGGTTTCAGGAAAAGGCAATCAAAATATAAATGGAGAAATCTGGTATTCGGCAAAGAAAACGAGCACTCAGCACTGGCCTGAAGGTTTGTTTTTCAGGAAGTAATGTCAGCTCATGCAAGGTTATCAGACGCCTGTTGGAATTCTTGGACACTGTCACTTCATCAGAGCACCTGCTGCCATCACTCACAAGGATGGCAGGAGAAGGTTCCATAAGAACCCTCCCTGTCAATGGGGAAAAGCTACTATGCACCATGCGTGTTCTTATGTGAATCCTAATAAATGGTCCTTTTTCTTATCCAGCCAAGGGGAGACCGAAGTCAATGCCATCAACAGAAATGTGCGTGGAAAGCTTTCAAGCTTGGCTGTACATGGAGCTCTCTGCTGAGAGTCCCACCCCTAGAGACACCTGAATCCCACCCTTGGAGATGCTGATATAAGTGGCTAGGCCTGGGATGAGCATAAAAGGCAGGGGAAAGGCTGTGATAGTCACTGTACAGCCAAAACCAAACCAAACCAAAAAACGTAGGGGAAGCTCCGGTCTTCACTTAGTATCAGGGTTTTGCCTACCTGCACGTCCACACCACCCCAAGATACCATATTAATGTCTGTACATGACCAACCCATAGTTCACATTTGGCATCTGATAACCAACTACTGCAGATGTCAGTGGCACTGCTCCAAAGCAGGCAAGGGTCCTTAACCTGGGGAAGGAATTCAGGTGGTCTGTGAACCTGGAAGGTCCCTGGGTGGTGTGAAAGTTTGGTGCTTGGCTACTAACCAACAGGTTGGTGGTTCAAATCCACTCAGTGGTGTTGTGAAAGAAAGACGTGGCAATCTACTTCTGGAATATTACAGCCGTTGAAAACCTATGGAGTGTAGTTCTACTCTGACCCACACGGGCTCGCAGGAGTCTGTCAAGGAGACTTGACAGCAGTGAGTTTGGTTTTGGGGTTTGGTGAACTTGGATGGGAAAAAATATATATGTATTTTATTTCACTAACTTCTTGAAATTCGGCATTTCCTCCCATTTGAATATAGGCACAAAAAATCCAGGAGTATTAGCACTTCTTGAGAGTTTGCACCCACCTGTGACATTTTCAGGTCACACTTTAGTGTTTGCAATTATTTCAAAATACCATTTACAGTCCTCCCGACTTGAAAGTGCAGTTGTGTTAACAAAACTGCTGTTAGATCCACAGGTGTTTAAGTCACTCACAACGCTGCACGTACATTACTATGCCATGACTTTAGTATCTTGATAGTGGTATTTCCCTAAAAACGGATTCTGGTTTAATTGCATTTTATGCATTTCACAACATTATTCTGAAAATGGGCCCAAATGCTTTAGCAGAGCCGAGGGGTCCGCTGCACAAGAAAGGACAAGTCTCTGTTCTGGAAACGGTACCCAAACAAGCCAGATACTGCACGTTTGCATTCAAGGCCACCTCTGTGAAGGCAGTCTCAGGGGGGAGCCCTCTTGGACCACAGTCTGGTCTTGTTTTCCCCGCATTTCCGCAGATAAGATTTAGCCTGAAAAGCCAGTTGAAAGTAGCAGAGAATAGATGGGCTTTCTCTCTCCCCTCAGTTGCCTCCTGCTCTTGGCATTTCAGAATGCCGGGACTGCCAGGCCGGTAATTCGAGCCTCCAAATTAATCAAAACACACAGCGCGGGGTTCAAGCCCAGGCAGGCAAGCCCCGAGCCAGACAAGCTCTCCTCTGGTGACCCCCGGCCCCAACTCCCGAAGCCAGCCCGTCACCCCGCGTGCCCCATCCCTGGGTGCCATCCTTCGCCTAGCCCCTTTTCCCCCGCTTCCCCAGTAGGTGTCGCGGCCCCGGCTCCCGTCCAAGTAGCAACAGAGGCTGCCCAGTCTGGGCCCGTGGGCGCCTTACCTCGAAGGACGTCCGCAGCGCGGGGAGCCGGCTCCTCGCCGGCGGGGCGCGCACCTCCAGGTTCCTCGCGCCCAAACCGTGCGCAACACGCGGCCTCGCCAAGGCGCTCTCACCGCCCAGCGCGGCGGCCGCGATCCAGAGGCGAGGAGCAGAAGCGGAAAGGCCGCGTGAGGGCAGCGCCTCGGGAGCCGGGAGCGCGCCTGGCCGCCCGAGTGCATGCTCCCAGCGCGCCTCCCGCTTAATCTGAGCGCGGCCACTGGCCACTCCCCCAACCTACGCAACGCCTCCCCACCTCACACTCCCAAACCCCCAGCCCCGACCTGCACCCCCAGCCCAACTAGGACCCAGGACCCTGCGACCATCCCCTCAGGGGCCCTGGGCCGCGCCCACCTGCCCCAGGCGCGCACCCCGTGGCCTCCTGGGCACGATGCCCGGGTCGGAGGGACACCGCCTGGTGAATGGGGAGGGGGGACGAGGGCGGGACCTACGCCACTTCTTCCCTCCCGCGGAGCCTCGCCAAAATCTCGGTGAGGAGACGACGGCGCGGCCGAACCCTACAAAACCCGCCCCGGCGCCCCGGCGCCGCCAGCCTCACAGCCGGGACGCACAGCCCGAGTCGCGCGGTGACCCACTGGCAGGAAGCCTGCGTGTCCCGGGGCGCTCCGGGGCCCCGCGCGGGCGACCACCATGCACCCCGGGACGACGCCCAGAGACCCCGCGCCCCTGCTGCTGCTCCTGCTGGTGCTTCTGGCGACGACGCCCGCGGCGGGCAAGGTGAGTGTGGGTCTGCGCGACCCCACCAAGCGCACTTGGCCGCTGTGTCCGGGGGACGCAGGCCCACCCACTGGCCTCCGTCTTGCCACCCCCGGCTGGCCGCGGGGTGCCTCCTGGCCCCACGCAGGTCCCTGGGCCGGCAGCTTGGGTGAAAGGAGCTCGCCGGGATGCCCCAGGGACTGGCGGAATTCACCTGGCATAGGGCTTAGAAAGGCCAGACCGGGAGGCAGCTGTGCTGGTCCCGAGGGGTTAGGGATGGGGGTGGGAGGACTTAAGATGTCAGCGAATAAAAAATCAGGGACAAGGACGTGAGAGATGGAGACGCGCGAAGTCAGGGAGGGCGAATCCGAGCGGGCAGCATGGGCGCACAGGACAGGGGGTGGAAAAGTCCCTTTAAATCACAGGGCGGCTGTCCCTGCGGTGAACGCACACTGAACTCTGACCTCTCTGGCGCTGAATTTCGTCCTTGTCAAATATGCCAGCCAATGTTCTATCCATAGTGTTGGGAAAATCAAATGCCATCAATGAAAAATTAAGCACCTTAGTAAGAGAACGCACGTTAGGATATACTAAGCAAGCTATCACTTTGACCTGTATTCAGATTTTGAGCAATCCTTGGTTCGTTGAAATCCATTTCCATACTTTTGATTCTTTTCCATTTAAAAAAGTGGTGTGTCCTCAAAATTATTAGACCTCCCAGAATTAACTTACTTGTGAAAGTTGAAATTTAATTTTTCAGATGTCTTGTGTTATTTTTCACTTAAAAATTAATTTCAGGGTGATAACAAGCAGTATAATTTTCATTTCCAAGGATGAGCAGCTATTTTACCAATGAGCTTATTGGAAAAGATAGTTGCAAAAAATGTTTATATTACATGAAAAACTTCTGATAAACTCTGGCCACAAATAATCCAAAAACGTTTTCCTTTTAAATGTTAAACTAAGACATTACAAATGAAGGTAAGACTCTCTTTAGGCACTCTGCAACCTCCTGATGCCTCCCTACAAGTATCCACTATTAGTTACCACTGTCCGTTTCTTTCCAGACATTTTCTTTTTACGTTCACTTATATGGACCCACAGACAATATCGTGTCTTTCTTTTAACATAATTGATATCCTGCTATATATGTATGCATGTGAATATGCATGTATGTCTGTATCTACATATCTATATGTATATACATAGGCACTCTGATGGCATAGTGCCTAAGGCATTTGACTGCTAACCAGAAGGCTGGTGGATCGAACCCACCAGTCACTCCTCGGAAGGAAGACTGGGCAATCTACTTCCCTAGTGATACTGCCTTGGAAACTCAAGGAGGGGTCACTGTGAGTTGCAATCGACTTGATGGCAGTGAGTTTATATATATATATATATATTTTTTTTATATGTGTGTGTGTGTGTGTATATATATATATATATATATCTGGAACCTGCATATCTTCTTGTGTTAGTATTTAAGATTGCCCTCTGTTTCTTTTTGTTCCATAACATGAGTAACTGTGATGTTGGGCAAACCACTGTACCTCTGTGAACCTCAGTTTTCTCATCTGTAAAATGAGGGAGTTGAAATGTCTACTGAGGTCAGCAGTTGATGTAATGACTGAGATAGAGGTGGGGAAGGGGAACACAGGGGCTCTTCAATGCCAATTGTTGACATTCTGGAATTCAGTAGCTCCAGACTTCTTGTTTTTCAGGAGATAAACTGGACATCTAGTTTCTGTGAGAAATCTCTCAAATTTTAAGGATTAGCAGCTAAATCAAAATTTTACAAAAGAGCACAGTGTGGGCCAAACAATGTATAAATGAGGGCTGAATTTAGCCTTTGGTCATCATATTTATAATCTTTGTACCACATTAGGTAGCGGTATGTTTTGCTCTAAATTTCTTCAATTCTACTTCAGCAGTTCTCAAAACTTGGAGATATCAGTGGTGTGACCCTACATGCCCAGTCTGTACTGGGAGGAACTGTCTACCCACACGATTTGTACTGAAACACACAGAGTGAAATATTTCTGCTGTTTTGCTGCAGACAGCCAGTCCCAGGCCTGGTGCTGCACACCACCCCTGGGTTATAGCTGTTACCAGACCTCAGATGATGGTGCTGAGACTAGATCTGGGAGTGCCTCTATGCCAGAGCTCTTTTGCTGATCTCTGAACAAGAGCAAGTTCATGGTTTGAGATATCATGGTTTAGCCTTTCTATTACTGCCTTCAAATTCCAGATGGGGCAGAAAAATGGTAGGCAAACCAAGAGTGGAATAACTACAGCTTTAAAGAAGCACACTTTTCTCACCTGGTTTTATTTTTAAATTTAATACTTCAGTATATTTAGGAAATATGTCAAACAAACAAAGGTAATGTAATGGGCATCAATTTAGCTATCAATTCCTCAGATGAAGCAAATATTAATAACCTTTGATTCCTTTGCTTTCTGCATGAGTTCTCACATACTGCTAGTGGGACTGTAAGATGGTACAACCATTGTGGCAAATAGCATGGCGTTTCCTGAAAAAACTGAAGTTGGTGAGTGGCTTCCAGCTTGAGGCCATTACAAATTAAGTCGTCATAGGCATCATTAACATGTTCTTGGAGCACATGTGCTTACATAAATGTTGGCTTTTCACCTAACAGTGAAATTCCTGGTTCTAGGATAAGCTGATATTCAACTATAGTACATACTATCAAATAGTTTTCACGAATTGGGTTGTACCAATTTAGATGCTCACAGTTTATTATTGTTCTAACTATACTAAATCATCACTAACTCTTGGTTTGGTCAGACTTTTGATTTTAGCTATTCTATGTAGACATCACTTTGATATTTTAATTTTTATTTCCTTGATTACAAATAAGATTGAATGCTTTCTAATATGATTATTGGCAATTTTTATATTCTCTTTTGTTTACTGCCTGCCTAAATTCTTCAAACATTTTTCTGTTAACATATAACTCACTGCCATCAAGTCGGATCTGACTCATAGCGACCCCTCCTTGGGTCTCTCAGGCAGTATCACTACGGAAGTAGATTGCCCAACCTTCCTTCCAAAATTAACATATATAGGAATTCCTTATTTACACTGGATAGGAGACGTGTATTAATTATATGTGTTGCATATATATCCTTCCGTCTGTGGCTCGCCTTTAAATTGTCTTAATGTTGTCATTTGATATAGAGAAGTTTTTCATTTTAGTGTGGTAAAATGTATCCATATTTTCATTAATAGCTAGAGCTTTTGAGTGTTATTTTAAAACTCATATTTCACTGTGAGATCATAAAGACGGTATCCTCAAATAAATTCAGAAAACTTTACTGTTCCACTTAGCATATTTAGATACACAACCTTATGGAACTGATTTTTATGTGTAATTTGAATAGGAGCTCCGGTGGCATAGTGCCTAAGACATTTGACTGCTAATCAGAAGGCTGGCAGTTCAAACCCTCCAGCCACTCCTCAGAAGGAAGGTTGGGCAATCTACTTCCATAGTGTAATAAGAGCTACAGGTCAAGATTTTTTTATATATATAGATATACTGTTGTCCTTGAATGATTTGTTGAAAAGCCCACCTTTCCCCCTACTCATTTTTATTTAACTTGTCATAAATCAAATGTCCGTATATGGATAGATCTGTTTCTGGGCTCTCTTCTGTTCCATTTGTCTCTTTGTCTGTTTGCCAATATCACACTGCCTTCATTGCCATAGCTTTATAACAAGTCTTGATATCTGGTAGGGCAAAGTCCCTCATCTTGTTCTTCAAGAGAGTCTTGGCAATTTTTGATCCTTCACTTGTCCACATAAATTTTGGCCAATTCATAAAGGAAGCAAGAAAAAAGTCTTTGGGTTTTAATTGCAATTCTACTGTATCTGTACATCTATTTGTGGAGAATAGACATGTTTGCAATACTAACTCTTAATTCATAAACATAATATGTAATTCTTTATTTAGAGCTTTTATTTCTCTCAATGTTTTAGAGTTTTCTGTTTCTTTTATTTGTAAGTATTTTAATTTCTGATGTTATTGTAAATATTACATTTTTAAATTTCATGATCTAACTATCCACCACTGTCATACTGTCAGTCTGTCAGACTGTGGTGGCTTGCCTGTTCCTATGATGCTGGAAGCAATGCCACCAATGTTTCAAACACCAGCAGAGTCACCTATGGTGGACATGTTTCAGTGGAGCTTCCAGACTAAGACAGACTAGGAAGGGAGACCTGGTGATCTACTTCTGAAAAAACTGGCCAGTGAAAATTTTATGAATAGTACCAAAACAAGGACTGATACAGTACTAGAAGATGAGCTCCTCAGGTTGGAAGACACTCAAAATACAACTAGGGAAGAGCTGCCTTCTCAAATTACAGTCCACCTTAATGATGTGGATGGAGTAGAGTTGTGGGGACTATCATTTGCTGATATGGCATGACTCCAAATGAGAAAAAGCAACTGCAAACATTCATTAATAATTGGAACATGGAATGTATGAAGTATAAATCTAGGAAAATTGGAAGGTATCATAAATGAAATCAAACACATGATGATCACTATCCTAGCCATTAGTGAAATGAAAAGACTGCTACTGGCCATTTTGAACTGGACAGTCATATAGTTTACTGTGCCAGGAATGATGAATTGAAGAGGAATGGTGTTGCATTCATTGTCCAAAAGAATGTTTCCAGATCTATGCTGAGAAGCTAAATGACTGGGACCTTTTAAAAATTAAATTCTTATGTGCATCAAAAGACTTCTCCAAAAGGGTAAAAAGAACCTACAGATTGGGAAGGGAGCTCTGGTAAAAATATTTAGCTATGACATATCTGACAAGGGACTTATCTCCAAAATTTATAGAAAACTTCAATACCTCAACACCAAAAAGACAAACAACTCAATTTAAAAATGGGCAAGGAACATGGACACTTGACTAAAGAAGATCTGCTGGTGGTCAACAAACACATGAGGAAATGCTCATTATCATTAGCCATTAAAAAAAAAAAAAAA